TAAGATTTTATTTATTTGACAGAGAGAGACACAGCGAGAGAGGGAACACAAGCAGGGGGAGTGGGAGAGGGAGAAGCAGGCTTCCTGTGGAGCAGAGAGCCCAATGTGGGGCTTGATCCCAGGACCTTGGATCATGCCTGAGCTGAAGGCAGACGCCTAATGAATGAGCCACCCAGGTGTCCCTTTTCTCTCCATTCTTACCCTCTTGCTTCAGCATTATGTTAGACTGCTAAGACTGCCATAACAAAATACCAGAGACTGGGAGGCCTACACAACAGAAATTTATTTTCTTACAGCTCTGAAGGCTGGAAGTGCAAGATCAAGGTGTTGAAAGGTTTGGTTTTTCCTGAAGCCTCTCTCTTTGGCTTGCAGGTGGCTGTCTTCTTGCTGTATCCTCACATGACCTTTTCTCTGTGCATGTGCATCCCCGGTGACTCTTCCTCTTACAAGGACACCATCCATTTGTGTCCCTTATGACCCTTATAACATCATTTAACCTTAATCACCTCTTTAAAGGTCCTACCTCCAAATACAGTTACATTGGGGCTTAAGGTTTCAACATATGAATTTGGGGGAGATACAATTCAAATTATATAAAAGGTACCCCGTATTCTATTTCTTTCTTCACTCTCCCTACTTGCCACTCTATCTCAGTTCCCAGGCAGGAGTATTATAGACCCATGTCCATTACTTGTAAACATGTAAACATCTGTTAAGGGGTTAGGCACATTTAAGTTGGGCATGAAGTCTCAGGCCAATGGAGGAACTCAAGTCTCCACCAACAGACAAAGTCATAGAGCTAAGGACAGAACTGGAGTTGGGTGTCCTCAGGCTTTGAGAATCAGAAGTACACAGCACACTTGTGTGATGAGAGATTATAATTTTTAAGTCCAGAGCTGGAAAAGTAAAGAAAGTTTTTCCTTTCTCTGTCATCCATTTAACCCTTTCTATATACAAAAATATCAAAAAGATAATTGAAGAGAAACACCATTTTCTTATTCCCAGGTCTCCTTGAGTTGCTCACTGGTGGTCAGAGTACACAGGTATAGAGTATTTCTCAGAGTACAGTTTGGGCCTCTTTCTTAGGAGGGTATCTCTGAATCCCTAGAAACCATTCCTGGTGGTCTGGCATTGGGCAGAGGGGGTGTTGCCTGAGTGTTTCCAGTGGGCCACAGCATCACCCCGCTGCTGCAGGCTCACCCTGTGGACCCCAACATTCCATCAGAGGCTGGTGTCGACCAGTTGCCCAGGCTGCTGTAGCACCTGCTTCCTTCTGTTTATGGCATTAAGAACTTTCTTCCTGGGACCGAGCTGCATTTGTATACTCTGAAGGTCCTCATCAGAGCAAAGCAACAGAGCTTCTAGATCAATCTGCTCTCTCATGAAAATGGGAAGGAATTCTCCCAGATGATGAGACTGCAAAAATACTTCCAGAGGAGTAGCATCAACCACATCTTCCTCCCACTCCACTTCATCCTCATCCCAAGGCATCTCATCTTCATGGCTGTTGTCCTCTTCCTCTTTATCAGCCTCAGCTTCATCAGCGTCTGCTGCTCCTTGTCTCTGTAGCAATTCACTGCTCATTTTAAGCCCTAACTCCCTCTTGCTGTCTGAGATGTCTTCGGAACTTGATATTTTGTTCCTTCTAAAAACAATATTTCCGAGACCTGGACGGTTGAGAATGGATTCATGTTGCACACATCCATTCTCCTCTTCTGAGAACTGGAGCTTATCTTGGAAGTTCCCTGAGGATGCGTCTTCTTCCTCTTCTCTGAATACTTCCATCACATTCCTCTGCCCACTTCTGCTCTCCTTTCCTACCTGCTCCGCTGTATCTTTGTTCTTCTTGAACTTTATCTTGAAGGTGTCTTTAATGCCCTTAGACAGTGACCCAAATGTACCAGAAGCAGAAGCATTTGAAAGGGATGACGTGGAGAAAGTGCCCTTGGAAGAAGAAAGAGTCCCAGATTCCTCCTTGCTATAGTTGCGAGCCATCTTATTTTGGTGCTTCTCCTGGAGCTTCTCACATTCTTTGATCTGCCTCCTAGCATTCTTCTGAGCCTGCTCCTTCAGCCTGATAACTTTTTTGGGGTTCATGATATTCTGGGCAGTGGCAGCCTTATCCAGGAGAGCAACACATTCATTTTGCTCTCTGCTGGCAGCAGCATCCAGTGGAGACTGTAAGTTGTTGTCCAGGGCAAAGATGTTGGCACCAAAGTTGACCAGGAATGAAACACAGTGGGTATGACCATTGGAGGCTGCATAATGCAGAGGAGTATTTCCCCAGATGTCGCATCTATTGGGGTCCCCTCTAGAAGAGAAAATATCAAAAATACATACAAAAAATAATTTTTCTTAGAACTGAGGTACAAAAAAATAAAAATAAAACAAAAATGAACAAAATACATGTTAATCCTGCCTTAGCGTTCTTAAAGTCCGACTATGTCACATCTAGACATCACATGACCAGAAACAGAAAGAGCTCATCTCTACCTTTCGTCTCCTTTTTAGAAGCAAGGAAAGCTATCCAAGAACTCTCCCAAAAAGGCAACTTTCATGTCTTGTTGTCCACAGTTGGGTCACATGCCTATAGGAAGAGAAATAGGCTACCATTTTCAACTTAAGTTGATTAAAATCCACCCCCCCACCCCCACCCCTGCTGCAGCTAGGGATAAGATTACCCAGTGGTGTGCTGGTAAATGTTTAACAACTGGTTTACCCAGGGAAAAAGATCAAAGCTCTGATCTATAGCATGTGCCAATTTTTGGTTATAAATACACCCACTATGGCAAAATCCAAGCTACTAATGTGATATTACTGGACAGGGAGTTTGGAAGAGATGTATAGTAGCACACCTTTATAAATTATTCCCACCATATATGTAGATATAATAGACATGCAAAATCTTAAGAGCATAGATAATAGAATGTACTCAAATAATTAGGAAGTGTTAAGTTTTGAGTATTTAAAAATAGTTTGTTAAATTATAAGTTTAAATACCTTTATTTTTAATAATGACTGTTTCACAGACTCTCAGACTTCTGAAAATTTAGCAATCATCTCTCATGAGCTGGTAAGAGCTGGTTCCCAGACGAACCATGAGAGACTGTGGACTCTGAAAAACAAACTGAGGGTTCTAGAGGGGAGGGGGGTGGGGGGATGGGTTAGTCTGGTGATGGGTATTGAGGAGGGCACGTTCTGCATGGAGCACTGGGTGTTATATGCGAACAATGAATCATGGAACACTGCATCGAAAACTAATGATGTAATGTATGGTGATTAACATAACATAAAAAAAAAAAGAGCTGGTTCCCACTCTAACAGTGCTACCCCACCAGAGTCACATGTAGGAAAATAAATAACTGAACAAAACTGGGATCCCATCAGCAAAAAAGAAGAGTGGAATGGATGTTGGGTAGGTAGCAAACCGTGTCTGCTATAACCATTATTCATAAAAAGGGTAGAACATCTCCACTGATTCCCCAACTTACTTCCCTGTAATTACAGTGTCCTATACGTGAATAGTTCTGCAACAGTTTGTGGTAGAATTGGGGGCACTCTTAGATGGCCAGAGACCCCACGCCAGCATAGAAACAGGCACCTGGTCGATGCTCAGTCAACATTTGTGAGATGACTGAATGCCTAATGGAATCTTGCCCCAGGCTACAACCGCACCCCTCCTATGAGATGGTGAGTTACAAACAGGCACAAACAGAAAGTAAAGTAAGTAGTAACTTACTGTTAATATGGCTCTGGCCTCAAGCCCAAGCCCCTGCTGAGAACTCTGGTAATACAGATTCTAAAGGGCATCTTCCCTCACCCTAGACTAGACCCCCAAATCAGGATCTCACTAAACTTCCCCCAGGCTGGCCCCATGGGAGGACAGGAAAGAGGGTCTGAGAAGGGTCTTGACATTCTTGGTGAGCAGGATCTGGAAACAGGAGAGACGATCTGTACCCTTGCAACTGCAGCATCAACACTCTGCGACCCTTCCACTATTCTGTGCTACTCAAAGTTTGGTCCCTGGATTAGAAGTAGTGGCGGCAGCTGCTAGTTTGCTACAAATGCGGAATCTTGGACCCCAGCCCAGACTTCCTGAGTCAGAATCTGAAGTTTAACAAGATCCCAAGGTGATGTATAGGCTCACTGCAGATTGAGAAGAGTTGCACTGGTCAATGCAGCCCAATTGGTGTCCTGTAATTTGATGAATCAGATTTGTAACTCCTCTGTGGGAACCCTGATCTCCTCCCACTCTTCAGTTATGAGCATCTACACATTCAGTGCCATCACCACCAAAAACTGTCACCATCTCCTTCTTAGAGAAAGACCAGGATAATTATCAGAGGGGTAAAATAGGGCTCTGAGTGCCTAGCTCATTCGTCTGGTGTTACACAGGCAGCCCACTTGGGATCAGGCCTCCCTCCAAGCCTGATGGTCTCCAGCACAACACAGTCCAACCTTAACACACCTCGCTTTTTCTACTTCACCAGCTACGAGGTCTCAAGCTGAACTTCTATAGGACTCAGTGTCCTCATCTGGATGAGGATAAGGATGAGGATAATTTTCATGGAGTTGTTACGTTAATAAGTTAACATAAATCATTAGAAAAGTGCTTGGTACATGGTGAATCTTCAATAAACGTTATTATCATTTCCCTTGTCTCTACACTCATAATCCTTAATTTCATATATTTATTTTTTTCTCATACCCTTCTAATAAAATCCCATAGCACTAGAGTTGCTCCTGCAACTTTTTAACACTTGAAATCTTACTTAATTTGCAACTTTTTAACACTTGAAATCTTACTTAATTTGTCCAACATTTATGTGCCCATCTCCCTAATTAGATAATATGCCTCAGAGGCATATGCCCCAAGCCTGTGTCTTTCTCTCCTTTGTATGGTATCTCCTAGTAGAAGTCTCAGACTCAACCTAAAGAAACCAAGCAGGTAATGTAAGTAACTGCATGGAGCCAGGTTTCTTCTTTCGACAAAGTCATAGCCGAGTGCAAGCTCCAACGAGAAAGGACAGCTGTACTCAGCAGCCGCTGCCCGCCACCTCGAATAAAAGCAGACACAATATAGCCAGAGCTTCCATTTTCCAAACAGAGCCAGAAATCCAGAATTTCATGTGGGATTTTTGATTTTTAAATGTTGGCTCCAGTTTAAAAGAAAAATACAGTGAAGTCCAAATAAAACATATTTGTGGACGAGATCCAGCCCATAAGCTGTCAGTTGGCGACTTCCTTCTGAGCGGAGAACAGCAAGAACAGATGCACATATGGGCGATGTTAAACACGGCATATCTGGGGAACCAGGACTAACTTTCAGCGTGACCAGAGTGCATGGAGATGGGGCAAGAGAAATCCAGGCAAAGAGGAAGGTAAGAAAATGAAATTTAATCTAAGGAAAGCAAATATTAAATAAGATAGTTCTGTTGGGCAGCCACTTCCAAGAGGTCTGGTCAGTACTCCTGATTTAATTGTTTTGGATCCAAGGAAGCCTCTTTCAGCCTTAGCACAGTTGTGTACCTTAGGGGGGCATAGTGCCTCACCCCCAAAGATGTAGTTTTACTTTTTATTTATTTTAACCAAGCACCATATTCAAAAGACTCCTTAAGTACTCTAGACATCAAAGAAGGATTGTAAAAACATCCAAGATGGTAGTATAAACCTAAACAAAAACATACTGGTTAAATTTGCCTGAAATTATTGTTGGATTGGGTAACTTAAAAAAGAAATTACTGAGAGTGAGCTATGGTGGGGATGTTAAGGGTATTAAGAACTTTAGGTTAAATCTACATGCTTTGGGACATATAAAGTAGTGGAATTTTCCTTTCTCAAGAGAACTTACATGATCCTTTCAAGATGGGAGGAAGAACGTGAAGAAAACCTTGAGATGACCCCAAAAATGGGTCTCATTTTAAGAAAATTTCAAACGCAAAATTCCAAATTTATACATGAAACTGTTGGTAAGATGATTCAAGAGTTTCCCTCATACTTTTAAGCTATTTCCACTTGCAAAAATTGTACTTAAAGGCAACTTTCCAAGTTCGTGTATAACTTAAATCAAAATATTTTCTGACAAGTTTCATGCGGTCCTTCTAAATTCAATCTTTGTCTTTCAATCCTTGGTGTCTTTCATACTTCTTGATAGAACCATTACACATATCTGCCCAGGTATTCATGAACTGGTCCCCCCTCGTTTGATGATCTGAGTCCTATATTGATGCTGTATGGTTTGCCTGGGCTAAATTCAGTCTAGCATTGATTTCTTTTCCATTTTTTTTCCCCCAAAGGTGAAACTCACTGAAGAGATTTTAAAATAATCCATATTTTGCCCTTGCTTTTTGGTAGGTCAGTGCATTTGAGCAATGATTTTTAAAGCTGGATTGGTATTGTCACTAAATAGGCAATTTGCTTATATTAACTTACTCTGAGCATTGGGTCCATTTCAATTTTTTCTTTTGGAGTTAATTTGATTTTTTTTTTTTTTCGTGAAGCTGTTCTCAGGAAAAAAAAAATCAGTCTTTCAAAAATGTTTTTCTACATAAAGAATATTTGGACTTACTAGTAATCAAAGAAATGTAAATGAAAACAATGCACTACGATTTTCTTGCCCATCAGCTAGGCAAGGATTAAAAAGAATAGTAATACTCAGTTTTGACAAGAGTATGGGAAAATGAACAATGATGGAGGAATCGTAAAGTGGTTCAAATTTCCTGGCACAATGTGTGCCAGAAGCTGCTAAAACATAGTACCCTCTTGAGTCAACAATTCTGCCTTTAAGAATTTATCCTAAGGAAATATTAGACCTTTGTACAAAGATGAATAAGTAAGGATGTTCATTTCAACTTATTTACAAGTTAAAAGACAGGATTCAAATTTAAATGTCATAAACAAGCAACTGATTAAATTATGATGAAACCATAAAACAGAATACCATGTAGTCATTAAAAAACAGTGGCACAGATTTCTCCTTTAAAGTTACAAATGAGGGGCGCCTGGGTGGCTCAGTCGGTTAAGCGTCTGCCTTCGGCTCAGGTCATGATCCCAGGGTCCTGGGATCGAGCCCCGCATCGGGCTCCCTGCTCAGCGGGAAGCCTGCTTCTCTCTCTCCCACTCCCCCTGCTTGTGTTCCCTCTCTCACTGTCTCTGTCAAATAAATAAATAAAATCTTTAAAAAAAAAAAGTTACAAATGAAAAAAAAAAGTGCAAACCGTCCATAATCTATTGTTAAATAATTAGAAGCAGGTTTCAGAATAGTTGAGGTTCCCTTTTATAGCTTGTAAAGTCAACTACTTCATCTAAGAATCATGGGCTTGCATTAGGATTGAATATTAATAAAAGGCTGTGGGGATTATAATGGCACAGACAAAAAATAAAATAAAATAAAAACACATCATTTGTTCCAATCAAGATTGACATCTTAAAGTCAAGTAGAATAGTGATTCATTTTTAAAGAGTCAACCATTTACACTTTATGGAAAAGATTTTTAAAAGCACAGAATTAAAATATATCCCCCACCCCCAAGGCAGATAACAAAACCTTAAAGTTCAGAATCTTTCTATGTGTGGCTCATAAGGGATGAGCCATCCCCATGGTGCCAGTTCTTAGTGTGAAAAGAGCACCTCTAGGCAGTTTTCTCTCTTTCTCTAAAAAGACAATTATTTAGACAGTCTATAAAGGACAGAGTTTTCACTGACTTCCCTGTCTCTTGCTGCTGTCCGCAAAATCCTACCAGAAGCACCGTCTCCAATAAAAATTAGCAGATTGAACTTACCCTCGGCTGCAGATGATTTCTAGGGCTTCCAGATTCCCATGGTAGGCTGCCAGGAGTGTGGGAGTCATGCCATCTTCATCAGCAAGATTCAGATCTCTCTTGGTAGCCTCTTTCAAAAGTTCCAGGTAGCTATCACTAGCAGCTTGGTGGTAGCGAGTAGACATTTTTTCTGCTCGCCAAAGTCTGGCCAGGTATCACTCTCCAGGCAGAGCAGGTTGTCAGTGCAGCAGCCTTCCTACAAAGCTGGTTAATCAGTGACAAGGAAGAGTGTCACCCCAGGACAAAGCTCATTCCAGCCTCCCTCCATGGAAGTCAACCAGAAAGGTTCATGGCACTGAACTTGGATCTTTGTTTTCTGGCATGGCCATGACATTGAGTATTAAGGACTGCTGTGTTCATCTTGAGTGTTGTAAGGCACATTTAATTTCTTTATATCTGTTAGCAATGTAATACTGGTCATCTAGGCACAGAATGTACAAAATAATTTCCAGACAATTCAGAACTAGTCTAGTTCACAGGGGAGGTCTATTGTTTAAAACTGTTTTATTGAGGTATAATTTATATACTATGAAATTCACCCATTTTAAGTGTTTAATTCAATGATTGTTAGCAAATTTACAGAGTGGCGCAAGTATCATCATAGTCCAATTTTAGAACATATCTATCACTCTCAAAATATCCCTCATGCTCATTTGTAGTCGATCCCCATTCCCATTCCCAACCCCAAGAAAACATTAATCTGTGTCCTATCTCTATAGATTTGCTTTATATGGGCATTTCATATAAGTGGAATCATAAAATATACAGTCTGTGTCTAGGGGGTTTTTTTAGCTTCACATAATTTTTTGAGGTTCATTCATTTTTTAGTATGTAACAATACTTCCTTTTTATTGCTGAATAATATTCTATTATACCAATATACCAAATTTTCATTATTCATCCAGTAGCTGATGGACATTTAGATTGCTTCCTCTTTTTGGTTTTATGAATAATGCTGCTACGATCATTCACACACAAGTCTGTGTAGACATATATTTTTATGTCTCATTTTATGTCTCATGTTTATACCAAAGAGTGGAATGGCTGGGTTATATGGCAATTTATATTTAACTTTTTCAGAAATTGCCAAATGGGTTTTTCAAAGTGACCATACTGTTTTACATTCCCACCAGCAATGGATGGTGAGAATTCCTCCATATCCTTGCAGCTTCTATTGTCTTTCTGTTTATGGCTATCCTTAGTGGGTGTGAAGTGGTATCATTCTGGTTTTAATTTGCATTTCCTAATGAATAATGATGTTGAGCACATCTTTATGTGCTTACTAGCCATTCTTACATCTTATATTTAAATTCTTTGCCCATTTTTCTCTTTGGGATATTACCTTATTAATGAGTTAAAAGAGTTCTTTATAGATTTTGGACAAAAATCCTTTATCAGATTTATTTTCAACTGAATGAAAATGAGAACACAACATCTCAAAATTTATAGGATACAGTTAAAACAGAGCTTGGGGAAGAAATGAGCAGTTTTTATACCTGATTCAGAAAAGGAGAAATAAATCAATAATTTAAGCTTCCACCCTAAGGAAAGGAGGAAACAATAGAAAAATTAGTGTAAATAAAGAGCACAATATTAGATCAAAAACATGGTCCAAATCTATCTGGAATAAAAATAAATGTAAATGGATCAAAGTCATCAGTCAGAAGACCCAGCCATATCTTATTTACAGTAGACACAGCTAAAATATAAAATTGCAGAAAAACTGAAAGCAAAAAATGGAAAAGTTTTATCAAGAAAATGCTGACAGGGGCACCTGGATAGCTCAGCTGGTTAAGCGTCCAACTCTTGATCTCCTCTCAGGTCATGATTTCAGGATGGTGAGATCGAGCCCTGCTTCAGGTTCCACACCTGTCATGGAGTCCGCTTAAAATTCTCTCTCTCCATCTCCCTCTGCCCCTACCCCCCACATGCATGCATGTGCACTGTCTCTCTCTTTCTCAATAAATAAATATAATCTTTAAAAAAAAAGGAAAATACTGACAAAAGTGGTATGGCTATATTTACATCAGACAAAATATAGTTTAAGCCAAAAAAATTGCTAGGGATAAAGATAGATAATACGTAATGATAAAAGGAACAATTCATCAAGAAAATATGATGGTCCTAAACTCGTACGTACATAACAACATAGCCCCCAGATAGAAAAAACAAAAATTAATAGAATTGGAAGAGAAAGAACAAATCCACAATCACAGTAGGAGGTTTTAATACACTCTCTAAATGTTATATATCAATCAGACTAAAGATCAGTAAAAAACAAAAGATCTGAACACAATGAAAAAGCTTGATTTAACAATCCTATGCAGAACTCTATACTCAATAGAAAATACATGTTCTTTTCAAGCACACAGAAAATATTTATAAAAACTGCCCACCTAATAGAACAAGGGCAGGCCTCAATAAACATCAGATGATAGGTTTCATGTAGACTCTGTCCTCTGAAGACACAACAATAAAATTAGAACCCATCAACCTACATAGCTGATGAACTATTAATATATTCTCTTGTGGTATATATTTTACATAGTTTTTACCATCAAATACATACCATTTTGCATTGTCTTTTCCTCTCTTTAATCCACCATAAGTTATTTCCCATATTGTTACAAAATCTTTCTTAAAAAAGATTTTATTTATTTGGGACGCCTGGGTGGCTCAGTCGTTAAGCGTCTGCCTTCGGCTCAGGTCATGATCCCAGGGTCCTGGGATCGGGCCCCGCATCAGGCTTCCTGCTCCAAGGGAAGCCTGCTTCTCCCTCTTCCACTCCCCCTGCTTGTGTTCCCTCTCTCACTG